TATATATATATATATTCCTCATCTTTAAATAAACTATCTAAAACAATTTTTCTTCATTAATAACCTTTTACACAAACCTTACCCTATTCTCCAAACATTAAATTTCTCTAGCTAATTTAAACCATTCATAATTCCCTCCCCACCCACAGTTATCTCCAACCTTTTATTCCATATTCTTTAACAGTACTTATTAATTTGCCCTCCCCCACTTCCTCTCCTCTCCTCTACCACTTTTCTCTTCTTATTTTTCAAACTCTACATATATACTTTTTTTAACAGAACTGTTAATGAAAATAAGACCAAGTATGCATCAGGATAAAGAGAGAAAAAGAAAGAATACGAATAATTTATCTTCCCAATAACCGCAAAAAAATACTCTATACAAGCTGTAAAATATCTCTTATGTGAATGCCTGTACAGTGCCAGAACTATCTAACAACATGAATCAATATTAACGTCAAAACTTGGTTCGCTGAAGAATAAGAAGTAACCAATTGCTTCGCCAAAAACAATACCGAGAATGAGCCAAACATTGAATGTCATTGCGATAAGCATTAGAGTGTAAGCCAGCAATACTTGAGCAAAATATAGCGTTGATTGCACTATACGATAGCACGTGAAAAGTTGGCTCAGTGCTCGAATCCTAAAAAACGCGCTGATTTTACCATCACATGGTTGATTGGAGTTAGTCGGAATATTTAAGATTAAAACCGGAATTGAAAGTCTAGAAAAACCAGTGGAAAGATTCGCAATATAAACAAAACAAATAGCGATTCTTCAAGTTTTTGAGCAATTTTGTGCAAAATGCGCTTATTTTATTATGCATAAGCGAAATATTTCGAAATAAAAATAATTTTTTCCAAACAATTTGACGGTGTAAAGTTAACAGCACCAATAAATACCCGGAAAATCAAATAAGTAGGTCAAAAGCTGCGACCAGAAAGTCCTAACTTATCGCCCAAGGATTCTACGAATTGAATTTTTAGCACGGTTAAGCTGTATAAATAGTAATATGTAAGACCGATAAGGTCATCTTGCTCATTATGCTGACTACAGTCTATGAAGCATTGTAGGTATGGACCGGAACATTTCTTGTCTATTACAAATATTTCAATATTCCCATTCGTTCTTTTTCCCCTTCGTTTTTCTTCCCTTCTTCATTTTTTCTATTTCATCATTTTCTAGCATATCTTTTAATAAAATATTTGAAATATACAGATTAGCTGGTAATCTGTATAGCTGTAATAAACACAGACCGAACTGTGCGTGCGGGTAGGAGCGGGAATCATCAGTACAGCCTCCTGAAGCATGTACATGTGTGAATTGTATTGTTTCATGAAGTGGCGAAAAAAAAAAACCCCTCCATTTACCCGCTGAATCGGAGTAGAGGTGAGAAGAGGATGGATTGCTCATTGCTCACGCTGTCCACATGCTCGGATGAATCGTGCACAACGATCGTCGAATGCACGGGTTCATTCCGCTGTTCCACGGCATGATTACGGGCAAAGTGCAGGCGAAGAGCTGAAAACCGATGACATGAAAAGTCTACTTCTCCCAGCTCATCCACCACAGAAAGCATAAATTTTCATGGTTTTTTAATCGAAATATGTTTGGAAAATTGTTCAGAAACAAGGGGAACAACGATCAGGGCTTGAGAAACACGCTATCACAACGAAACAATGCAGGCACAAGTTAAACGCCTAGTCAGCAGTCTATTCTCATAAAAAGCTTATATTTAACTGCGCGAAACTATACCGATTTAACTGCGTGAAACTATTTAAATGCGTAAAACTATACCGATTTAACTGCGTGAAACTATTTAAATGCGTAAAACTATACAGATTTAACTGCGCGAAACTCTTATATTTAACTGCGCGAAGCTATACAGATTTAACTGCGTGCTGTAAAAACGACAGATTCCTCTGTCCCCGCTCTAATAAAAAAAAAAAAACAAAAAGAAAAAAAAAGACACCTTTTATTGCAACATACAAAACACCCATGAGCATGACAATCAGCACGGAGGCAGCCAATCCTAAAAAATAACAACAACAGCGATTGTGCCGGATGTGGCAGATTTAGCAGCAACGAAGACAGCTAAAAAAGCTCAGAGAGGAAAATGCAGTGATTGGGACCTCACACTATTTCCCTGCTGCCCTTGCAGTGAGTGAGGGTCATGACAGCAATCCGAGAGAGGTGCTGGTGTGCCAGGAAGCAACTTACCAAGGGGTGACCCGATTTTCCAGAAGCCGAACAGGACGAATTCGCGGCTGCCGAAGTGAAGAATCATCGCATCCATCACTGATATCGTGGAATTCGGCGACAGCAAACTCATAATCCCATACGGCAACAACATGTTCGCCTGCAAACACTTCAAAAGAACGCAAAAACCGGCAAAAAACCGAAAAAACCTCCCAGGAAAAGCTACCAATTTTCGACTTCTT